TGGAGCTCTTATGTGAATGAGATTAGAAGTGTAGCTTATTTTGTCCAAGAAAATGGATGATCTAATAGGGAGCAGGGAAAGGAGATAAACATAAGGCAGCATTATTTGGTAATAAGTAAAAACAGAGAAAAAGACAGAACAAATGAGACAGAAAAGTGATGTTAAGAACAGAAAATTGTTACTTCATCATCTTTCAAATGTAGAAATCTGACTTCTGTTTTTGTTTTTGAGAAATGGTTGCCAAATGTATTTTCTAAGTGTATGTAAGATTAAAGAGAGTCAATGTAACTGAGCAGGAGGAACAGCTACTAATTAGTTCTATTAGGATATGCATAGTTTGTTAATGGCTATAAGAATTTTTCAGAGAGCTTCTATAAATGATCAGGCTAAGGTTCCTGAGGATTATATAAATCTTGATGGATGTTGGACTTTAAACATGGCCATGTGAATTATCAGAAGCATTTGCAATTCTGTGACCTTGTTCCAAAATTTTTCTGTTTCCAGTGTCTGAGAATATAGCAGTCTCTGTGCTGGCACATACGTTCCTACACAAATACCTGATACTTCTCAACAGCTACCCATTATCTGGCCCACAAAAATGAAAGAAAAGACAAATGCATTTATTCTTCTTTTCTGAGGAGAAGCAAGGTCTCCTGAAGTATCTGTGCTTGCACCAGTTATTCCTATATTCTCATGTTTATCTTTCTTTTGTATTCCCCTTGGTGAATGCCCCTCTCTGCCATATTCTCTATGCCTAGGGTTTCATTCCTTCTCAGCAATGACCTTGAGGATTCCAGATGAGTTTTCATGTTTCATTATTAGTCATACTTTAAAGTATGACATAAAGTATTTGAAGTAGCTGTAATTAAGTTATGCTGAAGAAGACTGACGAGAAGTAACCTAGGACAGAAAGCCAGTGTGTTGGATTTAGGAACCTGTAGAGTAGCAACAGCTGCCGTCTGCAAAAAACAGAGGTAGAGAGAAGTTCAGAGGCTCATAAAAAGCTTTGGAGTCATAAGTGGGAGGGCAGTACGTGTTTAATCAGGGATGGAAGCTTAGTGGATAAAAGGAGAACACTGCTTTGTTGGGAGAGAGGGGAAGGAAGGGGTATCTGCAGGGGTTGGGAAGACACGACTGAAAAGAAGTGATTGGTAACACATGCCTTCAAACAGGCTCTAGCTCTGCCTCTTTTCTGTGTAAAAGATTGTACACGATAAAGTCAAAACTATTTGTGTTTCTAAAGTGAATGACTTCCTGCTCATCTATGTGCTGCAACTTGTTTTATATATAAAAAAAAAAATGCTGATGTACAAAGCTTAGCTCTCTTTTTAAATGTTAAGCCACAGAGTAATTATCATTTTTCTTATGCTACGTTTATGTTCCAAGATTCTAGTTTCTATTAATGTTCTGCATGTTTTCTAAGTAGATTACAGGGACATTTCTGCATCACAAGTAAGCCCTGGAGCTATTCTCAGCTTAAAGCTGGGAGAAACAAAGTGACATTTACATTGCTAAATGAGTGTAGAGAAGTTTCTGGCTCATTTTTTACAAGGAAAAATATGCTTCTAAGCAGTATTTCTTATTTTTGTTATCTATTTTTTGCTGTCAAGCTTTAATAAAACTTGAATTCCAAATAGTAATGAATTTAAGAAGAGGAAGGACTTGACAGCTAGGCACATTCATTCTTTTCTTGCAGCTGTATTATTCAGAATGCCTTACTGGTTTTCATATATATTCTTTAAACAATTATCTTTCCATTCGCAGTGGTATACATTAAACAGTTGTATACTAAATAGTGATATCTACTTAGCAAGGTTTTTTGGGGTTTGGGCTTGCTTTTCGGTATGTTTTTTTAATCTTATGGACCATGATAGTAAAACAGGGTTTAGTAATGTCATTTAATATAAGTCAAATATAAACACATTATTGCTCTCAAAAATGGAAAATTTCAAGGGCAAAATGCAATTTATTTATGATTATGAGATGGAACTGGCATGTATATTTTAAATTATATGTTTTTGTGAGAGCATCAGTTAAGGTAATAAACATATAAACAAGAAGTTGTTGGCTGTTGGACAATCTGAAATTCTTCAGATTTTCTGAACATTTAACCAGTCTTCTGTTATGTTCATTTTTCCTGTATTGGCTATGAATACTTCCCTCACATTCTGCTGCTTATCCAGCTGTGTAAAAATTTTACTTTTGTTGAATTTATGGTAGCATTTGAATATTACCAAGTGAAAAGTGAATTTAAATACTCCATAAGAAATACCGAAGCCATGGAGAATCAAACTTAAATGTTACTTTCTCAGAAAATACAGGAACTTCTGCATAATAATTTGTCTGAGTAATGCTGTTTTGACATAATTTCATTATTAGCATCTGTTTCCTGTAAGTAGAATTTACTCAAGAGATCATACTTTTTATTAAACTTAAATTTGAGTAAATGAATGTCACAGTGGCTCAGATTAAAAAAATATTGGGGGATTTAGTCCTAGTTATAATTGCAAATATAGTTCTGATTTTCAATGCAAACAGTAAAAAAAACAAAACCTTCCAGAATTTGACATGCATGTTCTGAATTATGAGACAAATTGTTTCTTCCCAGGAACTTAGAAAAATTTAACAGTTAAGAGCAAATTTAAGATACAACTGAAATAGAGTGAAATAGATTTTTATGTATCTAAAAAGACAGAAGCTGTTTGCTGCTCTGACTGGGCCATTCTGTTGTTGCCACAGTTCTAATACATTCACCTTGTAGAACTGAAAGCAGCGCATAGATCCATATAGTCACAGATCTGTCAGTTCATTTTAAGTTTTTATATGCACTGGGATATAGAGAACTCCTGAATTAGGTGTAGTACAGAGAAACTACAAACATCCTGCATATGGTCTGACATCTTTCCATCACCCAGTTACCAGGTTCGTTTGATCAGGACATTTCATGCTGTCTTCCAGTTTCCAGCTTTACAGTGTGTATCCATGTGCCTACGATGACCATATGTGCAAATCTCACACCAGAATTATTGCTGACTTCTCATATTTCCAGTATAGCTGCAATTGAGGATGCGGCTATGTCAGATACACTCTGCCTTATGTGAGGGATTAAACCATGACTTGTGATGTTTTCTTAATGACATAAGTTGTTAAAATCTTCTTTGAGCTCTGTTACACATGTAGGTTCTACTGATAGCCACAAGCCCAAAGCGTTCCACTGTTGGAGCTGAATTTGCACCATTTATGCCATTGCATCCTGTCCATCTGCAGTTATAAGTAGTGGAATGGACCAACTTACCACTTGCTTCATTTTGCTGTCACATCAAAATGGAGCTTCTATAGTGCCTTTCTACTATTTCACACTTTGTCATCATTAATGTTAATGTCCAGTGTTGTTTATTCTGTACTAATAGTGTTGGTCTTTTTGCCACTTTCAGCCAAAAAAGGGAGACAGTTCAGTCCAGTTTATAGGCTATAGCCTTTCTGCAGTATGTCCCTAGCTGTTTGGCAGAAATAAAACCCATAAAGAAGAGTACTAAAAAAATTCTCTGTAGTTTAGACATCTACATCTGAAAATCAACCAAGGATTTATAGTCAGGAAAGAAAAATAGGCACTATTAAGGCATGATTTCATAGAATCATAGAAAAGTTAGGGTTGGAAAGGACCTTAAGATCATCTAGTTCCAACCCCCCTGCCATGGGCAGGGACACCTTACACTAAATCATATCACCCAAGGCCTCATCCAACCTGGTCTTGAACACTGCCAGGGATGGAGCGTTCACAACCTCCCTGGGCAAACCATTCCAGTGCCTCACCACCCTAACAGGAAAGAACTTCCTCCTTATATCCAATCTAAACTTCCCCTGTTTCAGTTTTAACCGTTAGCCCTTGTCCTGTCACTACAGTCTCTAATGAAGAGTCCATCCCCAGCATCCCTATAGGCCCCCTTCAGATACTGGAAGGCTGCTCTGAGGTCTCCACGCAGCCTTCTCTTCTCCAGGCTGAACAGCCCCAACTTCCTCAACCTGTCTTCATATGGGAGGTGCTCCAGTCCCCTGATCATCCTCATGGCCCTTCTCTGGACTTGTTCCAACAGTTCCGTGTCCTTTTTATGTTGAGGACACCAGAACTGCACACAATACTCCAGGTGAGGTCTCACCAGAGCAGAGTAGAGGGGCAGGATCACCCCCCTCGACCTGCTGGTCACGCTCCTTTTGATGCAGCCCATGATACGGTTGGCTTTCTGGGCTGCAAGCGCACACTGAAGCCAGTTCATGTTCATTTTCTCATCAACCAACACCCCCAAGTCCTTCTCCACAGGGCTGCTCTGAATCTCTTCTCTGCCCAACCTGTAGCTGTGCCCGGGATTGCTCCGACCCAGGTGTAGCACCTTGCACTTGGCATGGTTTCAACTTCATGAGGTTGGCATCAGCCCACCTCACAAGCGTGTCAAGGTCCCTCTGGATGGCATTCCTTCCCTCCAGGGTATCAACCGAACCACACAGCTTGGTGTCATCGGCAAACTTGCTGAGGGTGCACTCAATCCCACTGTCCATGTCAGCGGCAAAGATGTTGAACAAGACCGGTCCCAACACCAATCCCTGAGGGACACCACTCGTTACTGGTCTCCAGCTGGACATTGAGCCATTGACCACAGCTCTTTGTGTGCGGCCATCCAGCCAGTTCTTTATCCACCGAGTGGTCCATCCATTGAATTAATGTCTCTCCAATTTAGAGACAAGGATGTCGTGTGGGACAGCGTCAAACGCTTTGCATAAGATTTACCATACCCTTGTTTGAAATGGGCAAAATAAGTGTAACCTGTGAAATTCTAACAGCTATATAGAGGAATCAGACAAGCTACTCTGCCTAGGTTTAAATATTACTGGAGATAGCCAGTCACATAATTGACATGCAAGAGTTCTCACAAAGATGCCTCTCCATCTTAGGATCAGCTATGAAATGGTACAACTTCATTTTTAAAACACCTTTACTTTCACAGAAAATCACAGCAAGAGTCTAAGAGGGATCCAAGTAAGAAAATGCACAGACTTAATAGGAACAATACATCATCTTATGTGCCCATCAAGCTTGACTCTACTGAACACTCTGAGACAGACCACTCTAAAGACAGTTTCTTCTGAACCAACCCTTTTCCAGAAAGGGATCACTTTCTCTCAAGAAGTAATTATGGGAAGTATAAAATTAATTTTTTTCCTCTGAATACTTCCAAGAATTGGAGGATATTGAACACAAACTTTTAATTCTTGAGAGACTGAGAAATCATTTCTGAAATGCGCTCTTTACAAAACACTACCAAATGGATATAGCATTCACAAATGCTAGTTTAGGTTTCTCAAATCTGTGTTCTTTAGCATACCCGTAACCTCTTTTTCTGAACTCTGCTTTTCCCTGTGCTGACTTGTTGTTTGAAGACTACAATAGCTGCCTAAATGGGAGGATATATGCATGTGAAGACAGATGGCATTGACTTGGTATGAACATGTTTTTCATCTCAGTACTGCTGTCTTCCCTCACTTCCCTCACTTGCATGTTCTATTATAGCTATTGTTTTTATTGCTGCTGTTATTTCAGAAGGTAATATAGCCAGAATAGTCACTAGACTGCTAAACTCTATCCTACTATTTGACTTTCACATAAAGAAGATTCCAGTCTCCGGACTTGAGGTGCACTAGGTCTCTCATGAAGCCATTTTTCGCCCGGTCCCCTCTATGCAAGGGGACCTGTACAATCAACTGTTCTTGGTCCTAAAAACAGTGCTGTAATCTCTCAAGTTTCTCCAAACTGAATACATATTTTTATTTTGAGTTATAATTTAACCATATGGGGACCATATGGCAGTTAAAGTGAGGAATACAAGCATTCCCAATGAGGTCCTGAACATACATGCTTTACTCTAACAGTACAGAAGAGTTATAGAGTGGGGGTGGGATATTCTTAATACTTGGTTCACAAATTCTAAGAGACCTTAAGTTTTGATCAGCATCTCTGAGGGAGGCAAACCTCTGTTTTTATCCCTCCTTCAGCTGAATTTTCTGGGTGTTTTTTTTTCAGCAGAATTGCTTTTATTGTTTAAAGATCATAGTATTTCGTGCCCTTTCTGTGTTTTCTTCCTTTTACTGGGAATTTATACTGTTTTCTTCTCTGGGAACACTTGTCAGTCATCATAACTGAGTGGTTCTGCCAGAATCTAAAACATTTTCTAGGACAGAAATTTCTTGTTCAGTTCTGTTCTTCAAAATGGAGTTCTAATCCAAGATGAAATTCACAATCATAAATTGTGTATGAAGCTAAAAGTAGAATACTATTTGTCATGATAAAGGTTCTGATAACTATACATGCTATTGTTAGGGTCACTTTTGCTTTAGGGTATTTATCTGAGTGCAGTAACCAAGTGGTTTTACTGCATGAGGAAGAAATCAAATGGTCTTGACACCCGTTGGCTTCTTCTGTGATGATTCTAGTGATATTAAAAAAAAACATTAAATTTACCATCAGAATGAATTATCTTCAGACCAGAACGGTATATGTCTCTTCTTAACTGGTCATTTCCAGCCTTTCAGTTTGATCTGTGTAAAGTTTCTTTTTAAGATTATAGTATTAGGGAAATTATTTGAAGGTGCAAGACATCCCTGCCATAAGAACATTAGAATTGATGTTTATGTAACTGATTCCTGTAACCCAGTTGTTTTTTTTTTCTTGAGACTGTTATTTTGCATCTGCTTGAAGAGTAGATTTATAGATATATATTATAATTGCTTATATAAATTTACTTAATATATATATAGACACATATATAATGTTAAGTGCCTTTGCAAGCTTTTGAGTGCATGGACAGGATTCTTGCTTTAATTGTAGTTCTGTGACAGAGACAGTAAGAAGAACTTGCTGACAATCCATTGAAAAGAAATGGAATTACGACATTGATAAATACGTGCTGTGCTTAATGTAGGCGATATTTTTCATCTATTTCATCTATTATTTACTTGATAAAATGGCATTCCTTTTTATGCCTCAGTCATTTTCCATATCCTTCTTTTTCATTTTCTTTTATTTATGATTTTGTTATAATATTTAATATTATACTAATTCTGAATATTTCTACTACTTAATCAGGAAAGTGTAAGATGCTTTTCTGGTACATGTATGTTTGAGCGTGTATCAAGGACAACAAAAACAATGTTAACAGATCACCTTGTAGTATTTGTAACTCAAAATACATTTATATTTTATATTGCTGCATCTCTTCTTTTTGTATTTGCTTGTCTGCATGTTCAAGTTACATTGCTAGCTGAAGGAATGAAATTTTACCTTTCATATTCCCAAACTGATCTTCAGTTTACATTTTCCTAGGCTCTCTTTCAATTATCCATAATAAACAGGTAAAAACAATTTTCAATAAAATATAAATTATTTTTACTTGCTTGAAATCAAACATTGTCATAAGGATCTCAGATTCTTCTGAAATATGAGTAATATGAGCAGATAGCATCTAACTATTTTGTCTTTTCTATTTTACCTTTTAAATATGATTGACACTTACTTGGCTTGGTTCCTTTAACACTTTTAAAGCTTGATGATTTTAATATGACATACAGTTTTTGCAGACTGTAAGAGTTCCACAAAAACAGCACTGATAGCATTCAGCCTAATAAAAATCCCAAAACATGAAAGTTTTTAATTAATGAACATCACAGAAAGGATTGGTACCTGTGCTTTGTCTGTACCTAAGTGCTTCCTTCTCCGTTTGTGTACTGGCATACAAAAACACCTTTGCTGTTTTTAACTAAGGTGGTCATACATCACAGTGCCAAAAATAAATGGAAACAAACAAGTACATCCTTCTGATAATATTTACAATGCAGTGCATGTTACCTTACCTCACCTCCTGCTACATCACTCCCATTGTTCTCAGCCCATTTACTTATCTTGAATTCCGGCTGCTTTCTGGTTATGTGTGCAAAAGTTTCAATGATTCTTTTATAGTTCAAGTAATCTTCACTAAATGTGAATTAATATGATATGCATAAGTAAGTGGAATATAGGATGTTAGATTGTTCTAAAGTATGAGCCTGTGTATGTTTAGGAAGACTTACACGATCTATGGTGTGAATGCCTGTTCTAAAAGTGCAGTTCTTTTTCACACAGCAATTCGATACTTCAAATATGTGTGCATGGAGAACTATGATTGCACATTGGTTATTCTGGATGAAAGTTGGTTTAGGTGAAGTAGAAGGCTGAGAAAAGTAAATGATAAGGAGAGTGAAGTGAGAAATAGATTCAGCTTATGACAACTAAATTTATGTATCTAAATGGGGGCATCCGTGGTGAGGTAAGCGGCCTATTCAATATGGCTAATGTTACGACAGCACAATGCAACCGGCACACCAGTAGATGTCCACTTCTGAATGAGTTTAACCACTTGCCAAGCTACACTGTCTGTAATGGAAAATTAGATTTCTAGCTCATGTAGATAATTATGTTCAGTCACATAAATTTAGTTATTATAAGCTTGAATTAAATCCCACTTTATGTGTCATACAGCTCATTACTTTGGTTTTTGGCATTTGTGCAGGTAGGCACAGCAGGTTAGCATCCTTAACAAAAATTCATCAGGTTTCTTTGGACAGACTTTCAAAGTATTTAATAATATAGTCCTGACATTTGTTTGTATGGGTGACACTCGTACATTAGGAAGTTCTTTGCTATGAGAGTGGTGAGACACTGGAACAGGTTGTCTAGAGAAGCTGTGGCTGCCCCATCCCCAGCAGTGTTCGAGGCCAGGTTGGATGGGGCTTTAAGCAGCCTGGTCTAATGGAAGGTGTCCCTGCCCATGGCTAGGGTTGGAACTGGATGATCTTTAAGGTCCCTTCTAACTCAAACCATTCTTTCATTCTACGATAAACAGTGGTTTTGTGCCAGCTGCATACTTTCATTTTTAATTTGTTTCATTTTAACCCACCTTTTCTTGTTAACTGCATTGTTTTCCATGTGTCTGCACTGCCGTGTCCCCAGAGAATATTGTATAAGCAGGGGGTGGGTGCTTGTGTTCACAAAGCGTGGGCCAGGGAGACCAAAGCTGTAAAGCCAGCACAGAGAAGCGCTGGGTGAATCCACTCAGAGGTGTTAGTACTCATAGTCCTCCCAAGAAGGATTGCTGCCCAGCTCTCCAAAGCCAAAGTCCTCAGACCTGGAAGCCTCAACACAATGACGCGTAGCTTGCTTAGACATCCAGGAGCCAGCGTGGCAAGAACCAAATACCTGCACAGAGAAACTGGAAAATGCAGAGTTTTAGCAACACTGTTTCTATAGTGCACTCAGTAACTGAAGTGAATACTGTAAGCAAACAATTTGCATCACTCTGCCTCAACACAAGACCATGCTACAGCAGAAATTTATAAAAATTTTGATCATCTGTTGTTCTTCACATCTTCCTTTATGTAGCTTATCCTGAAACTAATGTGTGTCCTTCTACACAAGAGTTTCTTCCCATCAGTTTTGAACCCTATACTTACCTCCCCTTTTTTCTCAAGTTCCTGTTGACCCTGGACAAATTCACATGTTTCTGTTGAGCATAACCTCCAGAGCTTCTTTTTTCTTGCTAGCTTTCTAGACCAACTTGCCAATTTTTAGGGTTGGAAAATATTATTGAATCATGGTAGCCCATTAACAGTAGCAGGTAGTGCTAATGACCGTGCGTTTAGAACTTTAAAGTGAAGCTAAGAATTAAGATTGTGATCAGGAGCAGAGAAATCTACAGAGATAGGTAAAATTATTGCAGTTCAAGACAGAACTTTGTTTACAGTATTTCCTTGGTTGAAAGCAGCAAATCTCTTGCAAATGTGTTTATTGGGCCAATTTTCTTTTCTTGTTCAGCAGTACACATACCAGTGATTCTATTGGAGTCAGTGTTTTCCTGTGCTATTCTGCCAAGCTTGCTAAGGTCTTTCTCACTAAATGTGGAAGGATTTTAGAACAAATACTAAGGCAACTTTAGCTAAATTCTCATGATAAATTCAGCTGTGATGCCAAAATAGTTTATTTGTTGTGGGCTAATCTGTCATCCCCACTCCCTGTCATTCCTTTCCATAGCTTCACATTAGAAAATTCTCCTGTCACAGGGGAAGCTTGTGTGAGAGCTGACTCTCCAGAGCCTATTCCAAGTTTGAAAACAGACAGGGCTGTCAAGTACAGGACAGATTCTGTGAAGTAGAGAAGACCTTAAACTGCCAAGTGGATCCTGACACAAGAGAATTTGACCCTACACATACAGGTTTCAACTCTGTTTCTGAAATAAATCTGCATGACAGTTTTGGGGGTTTGCCTTGTTCAAACGTGCAGATATTTGGTCCACAGAATAACACAGTTTAAGTATAGGAACAGCCCTCGTTAATGTCAAAACATTGTTTATGTACAATTTAATCTCCTGTGATGGTGTATTTATTTGCTGTATACTTGCTTGAGTTATTTTCATCAAGAAATTCTGTCTATGTGTCGCTTTGGCAACATCTTGCTTGAGTTTACAACTTTGAAAAACATGTTGGCATCAGCTATGCAGTCCTTTTAAACAGCTGCTCTGCAGTCATGCTGTTTCAACATGCCACCACACATGGCTGAATTATGCAAATACTTAATATTAAATGACTGAGATACAAGAACAATTTGTACACTCGATATAGCTGATCTGTGGAGTATAACATCCATTCATATAACCGAGTTAGTGTGGGACAATTTAAAGGCAACAACATGATTCTTTTTACTTTCCATCTTGTATTAAAGGCGGCACTGGACAGAGAGAAGGTATATGGCAGGAATGTTTTAAAAGGCTGTGAGGGGGTTTAGCTGATTATTAATAATGCAATGAAAATAGAACGTGCACCAGTGTAGTTTTCTGTCAAGTGTTGAGAAATAGGTAAGATATAACAAATGTTTGTCATTCAGCTATAAATATGAGTTACCACCCTGTTCTGGCTGAATTATAAGATAGAATGTTAATTATATAGAATGCTAACACACTAACAGTATTGCTTACTGAAGAAAACAGCATTTATAAAAAGCAAGCAACCAAAACCATTAGTAGTTTAAAAAAAATATATATATAAAATTGTCATAAAATTTACTTTGAAAGGCTTTTCTCCTGACCTTGCTGTTCTAGTTCTACGGTAATGAATCTTCTAAATAATAGGACAATTACTACTACTACTACTACTACTACTAAGTTCTTTAAATTCAGTAAATTGTTTTCTAGTGATTGCATCCATTGGGGCGGGGGGGAGACCATTAGCTACTAGGTGATGTAAGATGACAAAAGAAGATGTCCAGTTAAAGTCACAAAATATTAGGGTTTTTTTGCTTTCTCTGCTGTACATTTTGAATAATCTGTTTTGTTCAGCTAAGTAGTAAAAAAAGGTTACTTTTTTAATTAATCCAAATTGTTTACAAAGCAAATTGTTAGCGCATCCAAAAAAGTCTGCATTTTTGTATACTTCTGGTTTCCTTTTCCCATTTTGGAACTTTCATTTTTCACAGAATTTCTTTTCTACTCTGATCCCATTTTTGCCATAGGTCCACTTAAGGATTTTTCATTGATTTTCCTTTTCTGATCTGGATAAAAGGGCACATATATATTTCTAGTAATTTATTTATAAGACTTCTGTGCAAGATCTAGCACTCGAAAGTACAGTTTATCACAGTCATTCAAATCAGATTTGTAAACTCCTTTGGCCTGACAAAACAAATTAAAAAAGCATTATTTTAAATCAAATGGAAGCTGAATTTAAAAGAGATACTGGGGTCCTTATTACACTGCAAATGTTTTCTTTTACAGTCTTTAAGCAATACAAAATTGGAGTTGTATAAATCCTAT